AGATGTCGCGGATGGGCAAAACTGAAGAAGATTGAAACGGATTGAAATTAGGATTTTTGAAAACTGTTCAGCCTAACAGTTTTTCAAAGTTGATCCCTGCTGCTTGCAACTTTAAGAATAATGCTCAGGAGACATATTTGTTTGTCTCGGATCTCTGATTCTGTTATTTACATGTAATTTCTTTGCTTACTTTAAGTTCCATAGCGATTGAGGGCGGGTAATTGGCAAAATTAAACAAAATGAACTGGACTACCGTGACACAGCCCCTTTAATTGTAAAAATGTCAAATGAAAATTAAAAGGTACTTCTAGATTATAAATCAGAACGTAACGTAACAAAAGATAGCCTAAATAGAGCATGCGTTTTACTGTTTTGAGAAGGAAAGCTGCTTCACGTTAGCCTGTGACAATCAACATCAGCTTCCACTAGTAAACTATACTCCTACAACACGTCAATAGGAAATCCAAAATTCAATGTTTCGGATGCCAGTGTACGGCTTTTTTCCCGACTTTTTAAGGGCTCAAAACATGGTTCGAGTTATCGAGGGTAAAATTATATAGGAAAAAAAACAAGTTGGTTCGAGTTAGCGGGAGTTCGAGTTATCGAGGGTTCGAGTTACCGAGGGTAAGATTACAGTGAATGTATGACGGAAATCCAGGGAAAATCGATTTTGGTTCGAGTTAGCGTGAGGTTCGAGTTATCGGGAGTCGACTGTAGATGGGATCAGAGGGGAATGGATAGCTTCCTCGATGTTTTTCTAGCGCCATTTTCGCTGCTATTTTGTCCTCTTTCAACCGCCCAACTCTGAACATGTGGAACTTGCTAGAAATGCGTCTCTCAAATGTAAATTAGAGATTGTGATCCTATTTATAATTACAAGTTCATAGTGGTCAAATTCCTGAATTGTATTCTTTTTTTATCTCTTACTCCGTTTTATTGATTTTAAATTATTGATGACTCAATTGACTGCAAATAGTTTCAATACAGTAGGCAGCAAAACTTTTGTTCTATATAAGTCGCATATCATCATATACCTATGTTACAATGCGCTATAGAAGTATTAAATATTATTATTATTACTATTATTATTATTATTATTATTATTAGCTCTTATTTGATTGGCTATTCCATTATGTTCTCCTCCATTAAGTGTCAAGTAAAGCCCAGATTAGCCTCCTACAGGGGCTTAATTAATGCGTATTGTCTGACTAGGATCTCCTTGTCTTTTATATATTGGTCGCCCCCCTGTCCCGGGGCGACGGAGGATTACTAAAATTCCCGGAAACTCCGACACCAAGCGTCCTTCCGAGTGCTTGGCTAACAACAAGCTAAGAGAGACTGTGGAACCAAAGCAAGGGACTTCAAGAGCTTTGCTGAACATAACAATCTCAAAAGGAATCATCGTATCTCTTAAGTAAGTAGATGAATGCCTAATTTCTATTTTTTGCAGTTCTTTTTTGGCTTACGACTAAACCTCTCAGAGAACATTACGCGTGCGATGTTACACTATAGCTCGTTTGTGCTCGAGCGCTTTGACAAAATCGATTACACTCTTTTTTTACTATAAGAACACATTTTATAAGAACATCGAGGCTGAAATTTGCGAATTTAAGAATATTTTAAGAATAAACCCGAGGCTGAGATTTTGAAAAGGATATAATTTTTTGTGTTGAAAATCTGTTAATAAATGCACTGAATTATGCAGGCATGTGTTTTAAGTAACTGATAAAATTACTCCTTTCTCTAAACGGCAAAACTACAGGGACACCCAACGACTGTTTTGTTTAATATATCTGTTCGGAGAAACAAATATTGCCTAGAATTTTCTATTGCCTGAGGACTGCTAAAAATTCCTAGATGAAAGTTCCACTCATGTACAACTTTGGAAGCTTATCTAACAAATTCCCCATGATTTTCTGAAGTTTAATTTTCACATTTCACTCCCTAAGTTAGGCTATTTTTCGTAGAGAAAAGGAAGCCTCAAATTTTCAGACTAAAAAATGCAAGAGTGAGAAATCAGAAAACGTCTCACATTCGTAATACTTCGAATTGCATCTAAAATATTCGGGAAAATAATACTTTCGAAAAGACTCAAGTTTCCCTAGGATGACCGAACAGATACAATTTTTAAAGTGCCACTTAAGAATGCATTTCTAGACATCTAAAAGTACTGTGGATAGCTTAAATAGTGTTTTCAATGTATTTAGGAGGAAACCGTCGTTGGATGCCCCTGAAACTAGCCTACAAAACCAAAAATACAGCACTGAGTAAAACCAAATGTTCAGTGCTAATAACAGTTCGATGACAGGTACCTGCAATACTTATGGATAGTGCCTCCTAAGCTTTAATTTAAGAATAATACAAGCGTTTTCAGCCTTAAATCAGCAGAAAAACAAGAATATTCAGCCTGAACCGGAAAAACAATATTCTTATATAAAATAAGGGTGTAAATGTTTCTGACATAAATGTAAAAGAAAAGAAGTTTAAAAGGAACGAATGTTTTTTTTCAAATTCTTGAACTTAATGTATTTTATGATTTAAGTAAATAGAACTTTCACTTTTCTTGCACTGACGCCAAGTGTGCTGATGAGGAAAAAATATATACAGGGGCACCCAACGGGAAATTTTGAGAAAAAGACCTAAAAACAACAACAAAGCATGAATAAAGCTTTCTGAAGCCGTTTTAAGCATTTTGGGAGATTGCTGGTAAAAATTTGTCATTTCCTCACTCCCAGCAAGACTGATGGAAGAGTTCCCAGCCAGCAAGGTGCACCTACAACCTGCAACCTGAGTTACCGGGAAGTTTCCCAGTAGACATGTGTGCAGACGTTACTGGCTAATTTGGGTGTGGTCAAAGGACAAAATTCAGCCCCTCAGTGGGGGTGGAGGGGGGGGGGGGCTAAGGGTGAAATTCACCCCTACAGTAGGGGGGAGGGGAAAGAGGCTTCTGAAAATAGCCAATAGCAGGCTATTCTAGATACTAAATCTAGAATCTCCCCTCATCATCATCAGGTCGAGCTAGCTCAGACACCCTGAATGGTCTATTTCCCAGCAACACTTTCCTTTCAAGGACATATTATTTTTCCAGATCTCCCAGCCAGCAAAAAATTTGTCTGAAGAAAAGATATTTTGAGGAACAGATCCATCGGGTGCCCCTATATATGCTTAATATGCTGTTTTGTAATTGTTTTTTGCAAAAAATTAGAAAAAGAACAGTGTCGGGAAGAATATCTAAGCGAGCACCTCACCCTTACCCTCTCTCCCTAATCCCCGGCCCTCCTTTTCCCCTTCGCTCCCTATCCCTTACTCCTTTCGACGCCTGCAACGCAGGCTATCAACGTTGCGCCTACGTTAGACAACTTAAAAACTTTTCAATGGACACGGATTTTATAGTACACTGATCAATTGCAGCACTGAAAGTTTTTAAAGAAAATCTATCGACGAATTTCGTGAAAGTAGCCCTAGAAATTACAAAAAGAACTCAGCATTGCGTTTGACTGATTCACATGTTGTCATGGTTGATCGAAATCGGGCAAGTCTACTTACGTTTAGTCGGTTGTAGAATGCATAAAGGTCATGTGCAAAACGAATGAGTGATAAAAACTTTTCGGAAGCATCCAAAAGGTAGCAAATTTGTTTGCACTAAATCCAGCCTTCATTTCATACATAATTTATACCTTTTAGTAGAAATTCAAAGATATCTCGAAAGTCCTCGTATAGATTTTTGTGAAACTTCTTACAACAGAAGACAAGCACCCGAAGTATACGTAGCGTAAAGCATTTCGAAAGAAAATGCCGTTAAAGGCAGAAATTCGATTTAAAGCTAAAACTATTGTGACGTCATGGTCACGTGGTATTTATTCCGATCTCCTCAAAAATAACATCATAATAAAGTTTAGTTTATGTGAAATACATGTGTTATAATGTTTTTCCAATAAAGATCAAGTACTCCCTAACGATGACATGAAGCCATCGAAACGTCAAGTTTCTTTTATATCGGGACGCGTTGATTTTTGTTTTAAAATAACTTTTCCTTTCAGAGCCTAAATAATGGATCCCCCACCCACTGCACCACCCATGGCTCAGCCGTATTCCCCAGGGCAAGCGATGTATCCACCGGCGTACCCCCCGGGTCAGTATCCAGTGGTAACTCAACAACCGGCACCGTATGCACAACAGACCAGCAACACCACTGTAGTGTTGAGTCAACAACAAGTAGTGTTGCAACAGGCACAACGGAATTGGAGCTCTGGACTGTGTGGTTGCTTTGAGGACTGTGGCTCTCGTAAGTATTCTTTAAGCGGCACTCAAATGAGTTAAAGTGGAGTTAGTAATAGTAACTAATTCACATTCGCGTAGAAGCCACCCTATGCCTTTTGATGGATAAGTTATGGGTAAAACATTTTGCATAGGGCATAGGGTGGGCTGATAGAGAAAATTTGCCAGCGCCGCTGAAGGGTAGGAGGGTGGGAAAACTTGCTTGTCCGTTGTAGAGTAGACTTGCGAGAAGACGGCGAATTTGTTTGCTAGCGCGTATAAAAGGCCTAGGGAATTTCCCTGCGTACCGTAAAGGACCAATAGACTGCTTTACAATGGAGCACACAGTAATCTAGTCGATTAAATCGTCACCAGGCGGTTTTTACACGAATGAGAATAGTTATAACTTTATTTATTAGTATTTCTTGCTTGAATGTACTCATTGAGGGCAGTATTTAGTCACGTATCACGCCTAATGGATACGGCTCCGCCGCTTTTACGTGGTCATCCTAGTCACGCAAAGCGGATGATCCGTTTCAAAACCATAGACAATACGTTCTTACTCAGTTTTCTTAAGACCGTAAGAATATCGGTCCGGATCCGGAAATCGAATCCGCGACTTCCCGCTCTGCAAACAAACGCTCTTCCACCTGAGCTAACCCAGCCACGTTTATTTTATTTTGTTTGTGTTTCTAGTGTGTATGGGCCTTTTCTGTCCTTTCTTCCTGCTGACTGATGTTTCGTCCAGGATGGGCGAAGGATGTTGCTTTCCCTGCTGTTGCCCAGGTGCACTGTTGGGACTCAGGATCAAGCTGAGAGTGCAGGAGAATATTCAGGTATTCGACAGGCATTAAGAGCTTAAAAAACAACCTCTTCTAGGGGACTAGTTTAAGTTCTTTGAGGAGCTTTATCCAACATTTAATTATGACTGAAGTTAAATCAAGCCATTTAACAAAAAGATGCCAGCAAAATGAAGTGAATAAAAAAATGAAAACAACCAACCTGGCCATCAAAACAGTAAAAGAACGTTTAAATAACACTGCAAAAAACTTTTTTTACGGCACTAATATGCAAACCTGAGAAACCACCTTACTAAGCTCTAAATTTTATATATGTTTTAGGCTTTAAGGCGCTCTAGTGAAAAGCGTTCTGGAAGCTTATGTGATTATCTGTTGACTTAAGGGATGGAAAACGTACAATGATCCTAATTCTTTATGAGAGCCCTTTAATCTACATTACGGAAGCAGTCTGATTTTATAGCCACCACTGCAAAATTGTGGCAATATAACTTTTCAAAAGTAGGTTGAGTTTGATCGTCCGGGTGAACGTAGTCCTGAATAGGACTGTTGTTGTTGACGGTGATATATTTGTTAATTATCGCCTCGACCGCACCTTCAAACTTTCCAAGAACCTTAACCTTGAAGGGAGGTAACGAGGGCCAATTTTCAAGAAGAAAAAAATCATAATAAATAATATAAAGTTCTACGTTTTCCACCAATTTTTATATCAAGGGCTGGATTACGATAACAGAGTTTCTGATATATAGATTTTGCCAGGGCTAAAAGCAAAGCTCTTGTTAATATCTATAGTTTAGTCAAACAAAATATAAAATTGTGTAATGCGACTGCGGCAACGGTAACAAAAATAGCCCCCCAAAAATCATTTGGTCTCATAAGCAAAAAAAACAACCGTTGCACGTTTGTCTAATTAGCAAAAAAGCAACTTCGTTTGCACGTGCAGCACACCTTTTTTGTACATTTCTTTGCCATTGTTTTGCACTACTACATGAACGTGAAACTTCCAGAAACATCCTAGTTTCCCCTTTTTTGGAGCAAATGTTGTATGTGTTCCTCCTGTTCACTTTTCTTTTCAGTGCCACTCATTATGACTTTTATGGGCGCCAGCGCAGCATTTCTCATTTTCTCACAGGCGCCGCTATAAAATTATCATGTTATTCTTCCAGCGTAATTGGTCTCCTTTGATTGTTATCTCTTGCTTTTTCTGTTATTAATGTAGACATTGAAATTAAGTCGAAAGTCCGGGTAGCTATGCAATATACCAGGGCGGATAAATGTTGGGCGGTGAAACGAGCGCTCCGCTCTTCGTTTAATGAGATGCGGAGTAGGACTGGCACGAGCGCTCTTTCCGCGCTTCCGGTGCGCTTGAAGGCCGGCGAAATTTTCCTTTTTGCAAACCGGAAATCCTATTTTCTTTCTGTAATTTCAGGCTACAATGTTAAATAGATAAATTTGTTTCATAACAATATCAATAAACAGTTTCATATGTTTGTGTCTGTATGCCTATAAGTCAAACTTGTTGGTCGTATAATGCCAAAATTTGAGTTTAATTTGAAAGTGTTGGATACCTCCTCCTTCCACTAAATATCACCTAATCCTCTTTCGCCGTTTCGTTTGCAAAAGCTTAACACTTCTTAACCTCAATTTTTACATATGTTAAAGGGGGATAAATTTTATATAACGTAACAAAAAATTAGATTGATATATTTTGATATAGTGGCGTTGTACTGCTTCAAACTTTGCTTCTCGGGTGCAACGCGCCATGGCGATTCGCGCAATGCGTCGCAAATCCGGCAACCGCATGTAAACAAAATTTATTGAGGTTAGTTGTAAGGTTTTTTCTCCGTTTTTCTCTCTAAAACAAAACAAGGTAAACAGTAAAAACTGAGGGGAAACTAATTTTGAAGTTTCGAAGAAACAGAAAGACGTATGAGATGTTTTTTTTCAAAATTAAAAAGAAGGATGATAGTGATTGAAATTAGCATAATTTCACCTTGCACGAGCTGCACGCATTTCTAAAATACACGTCATCTAGTTATAAAACACGATCTGTTATCTTTTAGTTTTGCCACGGATGACATGGATGAGATTTTCCTTCGTGTTTTAGACAGTACTTAGTTGTATTTGTTTTGGAATAGCATCGACATTGGCGAGTAGTATATAATTAATATAATTCAGTGGTGGAGCCATAAAAGTAATAAGAGAAAACCTTTGAAAGAGATGTTTGTCTACTCCAACTAAACCTCACACAAAAAATATCAATGTTTGCCTCTCGGAGACAGCGTACCAGCACAAAGGAACGAGGAAGAAGTGCAAGAAAACAAATCAAGCCGCCATAATTCTGTGACAGCGGCAGTGTCTGATGGACAAACCTCATCGCAAGCACTGACCGAAGTCGAAAACAAGCGAGATTTCTAAGCAGAGTCCCAGTCCGCTGCATCACACCTTTTTGCTCGGACGCTCTCGTTTCACCGTCCAACCTTTATCCGCCCTGCAATATACCGCCGAAACGCGCGGGTGCTTCCGCTATAACATACTCCTCCCCCCAAAGGGCTGACTCCTGACTCCCTTCCCCCCTCCCTCAGCATCTATACGGACGTACTAGCGTACGGTCACGTGATAACCCAAATTTCTCGGATGGATGGTTTACCAAATTTTCTAAGGTATGGGGCTACGCTTGCGCACGCGAAGCGCGCGCTTGGAGCTCCGCTATAAGAGCATACTGAAAGAATATCAAAAACTTGCTTTCCGCAACTGCAAAAGTTGCGTCTATAACTGCGATGATCTTCTTTCATTTAATTCTTCACCCCTCATTTCCTGTATATGATTTTCATATAATCATTATTTCAATACCAAAAACAGGATAATTCACCGATGACTGACTTTATTTCATCCAATTGCAGGGCTCCCTTTTTGACGATTATTGTATCGTTCAGTGTTGTCCCCTTTGTGTTCTCTGTCAGCTGGCCCGTGAGCTTAATCATGTGCAACGCCGCGGTTAACTCCTACCAAGCTGATATCTATAAGAAACACCAGCTTTGTTTTCAAGAGTTACCGTATCCATGGAAAGACAATCGCGGGATTTAGAGTAGTTGGGGCGATTCTCTTTCAGTTTTCTATATTATTGTAGAGGATGCTACGGTAATGCCATGCTGTATAGTGAGTATAGCTAGTAGAGCTAAAATTGCAATGAGTAAAGCAAAATTAAAAGTTAACAAATGCCTTCGTTTGTATTTCGTCTATAACAGAAAAGCATAGACTCAGTACCCTTTACCGTGCACATAGCCTGCGTAGTAAGCGTTTCCATTTAGTTTCGGAGCAAAGAAAGACCGAGGAACGGGGTTTTCGGCTTTGACCGCACAAGAAATGGAACGAGAGTAAAAAAATGCGCCATTTTTCGCGCGGTCTTTGACTCTCGTTCCTCGTTCTTTACTCCGAAACTGCACGGAAACGCTTCCTGCGCAGGCTTTCGTGCACAGTACTCTGTGGCTTCGTTTGCTCTTCAACTGCAATAGGTTATGGTCACACCAGTCTCATTTCATTGCCGTTCACACGAGAACGATGTGTACCCGTTTACATGGAACGTGGACGCACGGAATCCGTCAACGCAAATGTTTGTTTGCGTTTGCAAATGTGAAGGGACGTTAAGAGGAGATAGGCGTAGCCTGCAAGCAAGCTCTACAATTGGGGGATACCGTAAAATTCCGAAAATAAGCCCCTCCATGTATAAGCCCCTCCAAACATACGCCCCCAAACTCGTAACACAAAAAACCTTCCGTTAAATCGCCCTTCCAAACGGGGGCTTGTACTTGGAAATTGCCCTCAAATACAAAGTAAAATAAAGCAAAAACGGTAAATTCCCTTCCAACTATAAGGCTAGCCCAATCGATTTTGAAATGCAAATTTCCCTCCCAACATAAGCCCCTCTGAATATAAGCCCCTCAAAAAGGGCGTTTACAAAATATAAGCCCCGGGGATTATTTTCGGAATTGTACGGTATTGTGAGAAGTCAGGCGCGAGTGGCACGCGAGATCAGAGGAGCCCCTCGCTTGCGCGTTCTCGCATCGCTCAAAACTGATAAATTATTATCATCATTAATCACTATTGTATTCGTTAACGTCATATCAGCAAACTTTGGGTACCTACGATTGATCTGATAATCAAAAGGTCCGGAAAAAAATTCCTTTTAAATACCGAATTTCAGATGTCAGAGGTGAAAACTAACTTGTAGCTGAGAAATGGCTTACATTCAGTAGACCGACCTCGTTTTTCTAATTCTGTAGTATGTTGGAACTGTCCAAAATAATCACGTTCATTCCTGTCTCATGGATTTCATATAGTAACAGTGCTCACGTTGTTGGTGACTCCTCCTAAAATGTATAGGAATAACGTTGCGACAGTCAGAAACTTGCAGGAGTGACGATCCCCCAGGAGATACTCCTACATATGCGCTAGATAGGTATGTGCCGCCCCTTAGGGGATAATTTTTGAGGGTGTCGATCCGGAATAGAGTATTGTTTTTTTTTTCATTTTTACCCTTGTTGGCATTGTTCCCGTTGTGATCCTTAAATAGGATAACTAAATTGTCTCGGCTTTTCCAGGCTCCAAGATGGTAGCGAGCTTAAACAACGAGAACGCTGACGTCCCGGACGTCATGAAAGGCAACCCGAAGTTTGATATTTCGCTTGATAAGTTCTTGAAAGAATACTTCTGTCGAAGACAACGAATCTGAATGCCTTTGTTTTAAATCCCACTGTACAAATTTGCCTAGTCAGAGCACTGGAAGAGAGAAGAAAGGCAGGTTGACATTTTTGACGTCCGGTACGTCAAAATTCTCGTTTCTTACTGGTAAGTTCCCTAGTAAAGTACAGAGCCGGTAGTGAAAACTGAGGCAAATACGCGCCGGGTATTATTTATTTAACATTTTTTACATTTTTCCTCTAGTCTTGCTTGGGAGCTATTTGTATATATATAACATAGTGTAACCACTGCTCGCCTCGACTAGCTAATCTGCTAACTGCGGACATTGGATATAAGCTTGCTCTAAAATTTGTAATATTAATTAATAAAAAGTTAAACAGTTTAGCGAGAGAAGGCACGCGCGTCTTATGTTCGCACGGTAAAAATGTTCCTAACCCACTCAGTTCTAATCTTTTCTCACAGTGCATCCCAACCCTCGCCCACATAGCACATAGCAGCCACTTCTCTACAATGACCATTCACCTCTATTTCCAAGGTCTGCTATGCAAAGTGCTCTCTAGCTAGCCTGTGTATAGCCTTCCCCTTCCCTCGGAAAAAAAATCGGAGAAGGGGCCCCCTCTTCGATTTTTTCTGAGGGGAGGGGGTGGCTGTACACAGGTTAAATGCCTTCAAAAATCATAGAGTTTGCAAGTTATTGATGGCAATCCAGTAATCATTTACATCCTGAATTTTCAGCCGTCTCCTCGAGTCCCAAACTCCCGAAAGAGTCGCCGTCTTTCTCGGGAGTTTGCCACCTGGAGAGACGACTGAAATTCAGGCTAAGAATAATTTATTACTGTAGTGTCCTACACAGCCCATCTTTTGTGTAATTACGCAACGAGTTGCGAATAGCTAATAGAAGACTAGGCATCATTTAAAAGCTCACAACCAGGTCACAAATGATGATCATTGGGGAGTATAGAGGGTTCTCAATAGGTTTACTCAGTCGCGACATTCCAGACAAGCGACGGTTTTATCTGATACTGAGTTGAGATCAGAGCGGAATCGATACCTTGCCCGCTGTTTTTCCGCGCCATTTTCGCTGTCCTTTACTCCTCTATTAACCGTTTAACTCTAAATATGTGGATCCTAGAATGGAGTCTCACTTAACATGTAAATTATGGATTGTAATCCTATTTATATTTAGAAGTTCATAGTGTCAAATTCCTGAATTGTATGACGCCATTTGCCTAAGGCTGATCCGGGGGGAGACTTCCATTCAAAGAGACGGGGAGCTTGCCGTCTCACTTAGAGGTGTAAATTGCAGAATTTCAGCAAGCTTTGCGTAAAAGAATATCTTCTTATAAAAAAGAAACAACAAAGAAATATCCTTTAACTAAATTGATATCAATGTAGCTGTTAGAGAAGCCTACGTTGACTTTGTTTAAGTTTTCAGACGTTCTTTTATTTTCTACTCTTATTTCCTTTTTTATCTCTTGCTCGTTTTTAGCCATGCTAAATTATTGATGTTGCAAGTGACTGTAAATAGTTTCAGTACAGTCAACTTTTGTCCTGTCTAAGTCTCATTTTCGTGTATGCATATTTGATCTTATACCTATGCTAAAATACGCTATAGAAGTATTAAATATTATTATTACCAGCTCTTATTTGGTTGGCTGTTCCATAATGTTCTCCTCCATTGTGTGTCAAATAAAGCCCGATTGGCTTCACCCCCCTCCCCCGGCCGACAGAGGATTACTAGAATTTGCAGAAACACTGAAAGAAAGCGTCCTTCTTTATGCTTGGCTAACAACAAGCTAAGAGAGACTGTGGAACCAAAGCAAGGGACTTCAAAGTGCCAGCTGAACACAATCTCACAAAGAATAATCTTATCTTTTAAGTAAGTAAATCAATGCCTAATATTTCTCTTTTCTATCAAACCACAGGGAATCTTTTCCGAGAAGAGGCCCACCGGAATCATATACTTTATGCAGAATAATTTACTGCAGGCAAATTCTAAGATACTATATGTTTAGTTTCATGTTGTCACCAAAAGCTCTTCGTATTTTTTGAGTAGCATAGTAAATAGAGCGAACATAGAGATCAGACTATACATCAGTTGGTCGCTTGCAAGAGGTTAAACACTTATAAAACCCTCAGCACCAAAAAGTGGTCGCGGCCTTTTGCGTTAACAGGAGGTGGTCGTTTACAAGAGATTCCAACTGGTTTTGACGGAGAAACGTTTTGTGTTTTGGATAAGAGGTCGCTTAAGGGAGGTGGTCGCTAACGAGAGTTGGTCGCAAATGGAGGTTCGACTCTATTTGGTTTCCTATATCACGACAATTTTCACAATGAATTGATGCGAAACGAATGCAAGTTTTTTTTAGTTCGATTGCAAGACTGCACACAAGACTGAAACTTTCAAGCTGGTCTTTCACCATGAGCATTTCTGCAAAAGAGGTCCCTTGAGCTATATTCCAGGTTGTATTCACCGCGCTGGCTGTTGTATTTAAACGCCTGTTCATTTTATTTTTTTATGCTTTTGGATACTCGAAAGGAAGGGGGCATGGCGGTTTACGGTATTGACTTGTTTTTCAAGCGGTATTTCGGTAATTGTGATTTTAATCAGTGCGGTATTGCGGTATCATCTAGCCCTTCGGTATGCGGTTTTTTATCCTTCTGGCTAACGGTATTAAGTAAAAGAAGATCCTTCATGGTATTTCGGTACCGTTCATTTGCGTTCCCCTGTCTAATGTAGGCCAATATTTAGAAAACTTTACTTTAGACTTAGCGGTGATATACCCAAGTGGTGACAGATAATCTATTATGGAATTGTTGTTTCATCTAATGACACGGGCTTTTCGATCGTTATACACCGATAAATTCGAGGTCTTCTCATGTTTACTCGCAATGGCTAAGGTTGATTTTTGGTGCATACATGCTTGAGACAAACAAACAAGCGGGATGGATACAACTTAGTTTAAGTAAGCGTAACCAATCATGAATGCGGTTTCGGTATTTCGGTATTTGCCTATTTTTCTTATGGTATTGCGGTATTGGGTACCACCCAATGTCCCCAGTCCCCCTCCGAAAGAAGTGAAGTTTTATAACTGTATTTGTTAAAAGAACGTAAGGATACTTCGAAATAACGATTGTGGTTATGGTTTCAGAGTATTACGCAATAAGTGCTGTTCCAAACTGGCTCTTCGATATTCAATGCGTTGTAATTGTGCACGAATGGAATCCGCTTGAGAGTGGGTCTTCTATCTCGGATGAATAACATCTCGAAAATCAGACACTCCAGTTTCCCTCGGCATTTCTT